AACAAGCTGTTAATTATTTTAATTTTAACTTTGAGCTCCACTTTACAATGCTCAGCTGAGCAGCAATGGGCATTGAGCAACGCTGCTGATGCTTTACCTTATAGAGATCTATGGCATTGATTCATTGTATTGAACAGAGCTGACGCCATTCATTAGAAATATCCTTATTAAAAGGATGATTTTTTCTTAAAGATTTCGCTTTCCTTGGTCACACGGCAACCTTTTCACGAATATGACTTGATATGAAGGACAGATATTTTGTTTACATCCACCTTTCCGCTTCCGATCTGTTGCGTGAGATCACGTGAGGCGCTTTCTCTGGCACGAATCTTAATAACATTGTGTAGTGTGTGATGCGCCACGATTTTCAAATCTTGTAGTGTGAGCATGTTTAAGATTTGAGGTAAGAAAATCTGCAAAGATTCTCCATAATTTTGACTTTGAATTTCGATTTATGTCATGTCATATTCTTTTTCTTACATTGAACTGAAATTCTGAGTGTCATAACTTCAACCTTTTTACGTCATAATTACGATAAGTTAGTTTTGACGGCATAATTCTGACATAAAAAAGTCATAATTTAGAATGTCATAATTTCAATCTAAATATTTGTATCAAAATTCTAACTTAAATCTAAATTATTACCTAGTCATAATTAAAAAAGAAACAATTTTTACCTTTTTATCTTAGAATTTTGACTTTTTATATCATAATTTTTACTTTTAACTGAAATTCTGAGTGTCATAATTTCAACTTTTGATCTCGTTTTCATGACTTAGTATGTCGTAATTTTGATTAGTCAATTTCCACTTGTCATAATTCTGACATGAAAAAGTCAAAATTATGACTTAGAATATAAAATTTCAATTTTTAATTTCATAATTACTACTTAAGAGTAATGACTTAGTATGTCGTCATTTCAACTTTTTTATCTCATAATTTTGACTGTCAATTTTAACTTTTGGCATAAATATTTTTGATCATTTTGGCCTAAAAAAGTCAAAATTCTGACTTAGAATATCATAATTTCAACTTTTAAATCGAATTTAAAATCAAATGTATGACATCATAATTATGACATAGAAAGTCATAATTTCAAACTTTTTTATTTTATAATTACGTAGTCAAAGTTATGAAAGTCTCATAACGTCTACCTTTTTATTTCATCATTTTAAATTTTTATGTCAATTTTGACTTGTCATAAATTTGACTTTTAAATGAAATTCTGAGTGTCATAATTTCGATTAGTTAATTTTGACTTAGCATACGAACTGTCATCGTTTAATTTTTTAATCTAAATATTTGTATCAAAATTTGAACTTAAAACAATCTAAATTATGACATTAAAAGTCTAAATTATTACATAGTCATAATTAAAACAGAAACATAATTTCTACCTTTTTAGACTTTTTATATCATAATTTTGACTTTTAAATGAAATTCTGAGTGTCATAATTTCAACATTTTATCTCATTTTCATGTCATAATTTTGATTAGTCAATTTCCACTTGTCATAATTCTGACATGAAAAAGTCAAAATTATGACTTGGAATATAAAATTTCAATTTTTAATTTCATAATTACTACTTAAAAGTAATGACTTAGTATGTCGTCATTTCAACTTTTTTATCTCATAATTTTGACTTTGAATTTCGATTTATGTCATATTCTTTTTCTTACATTGAACTGAAATTCTGAGTGTAATAATTTCAACCTTTTTATGTCATAATTTCGATTAGTTAGTTTTGACTTGGCATAATTCTGACATAAAAAAGTCATAATTTAGAATGTCATAATTTCAATCTAAATATTTGTATCAAAATTCTAACTTAAGTTAAATCTAAATTATTAACTAGTCATAATTAAAAAATAAACAATTTCTACTTTTTTATCTTAGAATTTTGACTTTTTATATCATCATTTTTTACTTTTAACTGAAATTCTGTGTCATAATTTCAACTTATCTCATTTTCATGTCATAATTTTGATTAGTCAATTTCCACTTGTCATAATTCTGACATGAAAAAGTCAAAATTATGACTTAGAATATAAAATTTCAATTTTTAATTTCATAATTACTACTTAAGAGTAATGACTTAGTATGTCGTCATTTCAACTTTATCTCATAATTTTGACTGTCAATTTTAACTTTTGGCATAAATATTTTTGATCATTTTGGCCTAAAAAAGTCAAAATTCTGACTTAGAATATCATAATTTCAACTTTTAAATCGAATTTAAAATCAAATGTATGACATCATAATTATGACATAGAAAGTCATAATTTCAAACTTTTTTATTTTATAATTACGTAGTCAAAGTTATGAAAGTCTCATAACGTCTACCTTTTTATTTCATCATTTTAAATTTTTATGTCAATTTTGACTTGTCATAAATTTGACTTTTAAATGAAATTCTGAGTGTCATAATTTCGATTAGTTAATTTTGACTTAGCATACGAACTGTCATCGTTTAATTTTTTAATCTAAATATTTGTATCAAAATTTGAACTTAAAACAATCTAAATTATGACATTAAAAGTCTAAATTATTACATAGTCATAATTAAAACAGAAACATAATTTCTACCTTTTTAGACTTTTTATATCATAATTTTGACTTTTAAATGAAATTCTGAGTGTCATAATTTCAACATTTTATCTCATTTTCATGTCATAATTTTGATTAGTCAATTTCCACTTGTCATAATTCTGACATGAAAAAGTCAAAATTATGATTTGGAATATAAAATTTCAAATTTTAATTTAATGATTACTAATTAAAAGTAATGACTTAGTATGTCGTCATTTCAACTTTTTTCTCATAATTTTGACTTTGAATTTCGATTTATGTCATATTCTTTTTCTTACATTGAACTGAAATTCTGAGTGTAATAATTTCAACCTTTTTATGTCATAATTTCGATTAGATAGTTTTGACTTGGCATTATTCTGACATAAAAGTCATAATT